CACATGGTAAAAAACTTTATTGCACGCCTTGCAAGAAGAAACAAGATGAAAGGTAGATAACGGAATTGGAGATAAAGTTTGTGGATTATCTTTGATGTGACCCTGACGTGGAAAACAGAGAGTCACTCTAAGAAATAACGTTATTTCTTTGGAGGTTTGCTGTGATGACCTCTGCTGAGGAATGAAATAATTTATGGTGTGGAATAACTCAATTTTGAGGTGCATACTTTCAGGCCCGGGTGTTTGTGATGGTTGCAGCTGTTAGTTTTTTTCCTGACAGTCGTTTTGGCTGCTATATTGTGTGGCTGCTATATTGTGTAGCTGCTATATTGTTTAGCCATCTCCCATCAGATAAATCCTGTGCAGCAGAGATGCTACGGAAATCTTTCGACTAGAGGACATGATTCAGACTGGTTGTCGGGAGGTGACAGGTGTTTGTGAATACTGCTTTTTTGGTACGGGACTAGTTGATGTTAGTACCTGTTGACTGATGTGGATTGCTAGACCCCTACCTGTCTCTTCCCTGCCTGGCTGGCGCGTTTTAGCGCCCTTTCCCTACGGCGGACTGATGCCTCTGTACTACTATGTGTTGGGCGGTCAGTAGAGCCCGGGTTATAGTCGGTAAAGTTAAAAACAGACGGAGCAGCTTCAGGTTTTAGTCTGTTGGTCTGGTGAACCACTAGTTTACCACACTCAAAGGTCTTCTCCTCTATATAATCTTCCACCAGAAAATGATCGCTGCAAACCCGGGAGTCAGCGCTCATGGGTGGGCTCTTTCTCTTCAGTGCCGCTAGCCAGCGCAGCAGCACCGTTCTCAGTTTCAGCGGCAGTTTATGAAAATGGACTTGATTGTGGCTCTTCAGTCTCCATCTTTAAGTGTCTTTGTCTTTCCGTACGTTGTAGGTCAGAGTGCTACAAGATGGCGGCGCCCTTGCCTCAAAAAACAAAACAGGACTTCTTTTTTCTCTAATATGCTTACATTTGTCACTTTTGTTATAAAATTATTGAGTAGAGGTTAAATCCATTTAGTAAATCAGCTTACCTCTCAAACAGAGGAAAGACAAGAAGTCCTCAGTCTTGGGTCGACGTCTAGTCAGACAGGTGACTACAGCCAGGTTGTGGGTGTGGTTACTTCGTGCTGAAGTCATCGACACTGGTGGTCCTGGAGAGCTTGGAGGGGACTGGGCAAACTTCCTCTGTGCTTGCAGCCTTGGTCTGCACATGCATGTGCGTCAGTTTATTAGGTACACCTAGCTAAAAGGGAATGTAATCTAATACGTCCTAGTAGAATCAGTCCTGCAATACATCCTAACCTCATGGAGTTTTTGATTCAACTGTATAAAGTGTTTATTGCATTAAACTAAACTAAACTATTATTTTGTCCATCCCATTTATATCAATGGCTAAATAAGAGAAACAAATCTGTGTCTCTAATTCAGTACAATTGCACAACACCACAGACTTGCTAATAGCAGGACTATTAAGACTACAACTGGCAGGGTCGAATTTGTTCTTTTAAAGAATATCACCAATGCAATCACAGTTTTTCCTTGCCCCTGATGCCAAGTGCTTGCTCATGGCGGGAATAATATATATGTGTGTATACACATATATATACACACACACACACACACACACACTTGTGTTGGACGACCCAAGTAGTTATTATGACTACTGCTTGATTTGCATTTGTCATCTGATCAGCACATAGGAATGAACATGCAAAAACACACTACAGCAGCAGACCTCTTGGTGGCAGGGTCATCCTTGTCATGATGGATGCTAGCAGGGCGGCACTGTTGAGGGTGTGTTCGTGAGTGCCAGCTCCAGCTTGGACCAGCTGATAGGAGGGACTGACACCGGTTGATGCCATTAACCAGGGAGCCTGGAGCCACAGAACAGTTGAAATGTGAGTTACTTACATGAAACTATTTTAGTACTTTGAAAAATGATCTACACATACAATTGTCAATGTATATCTGCATGGATAAAACTATAACAAAAACAGCAAATGACATTCTAGAAATAATGACAGGAAAGATGAGCTGGTGTTAACAGCTAAGCGAAGATCAAAGCCTCATTTCATGGACACTTCAAATAAACCAATTACATTGTAAACCTCAATCACAGCTTACAGACTCACTTCCTGACTTAACTTTGACAGAATTTACTTAATGTAGTTGTATGCACAATTGTGTTCCTGTGCAATGAGGGATTCTTAGTGAAATTACAAGTATGTTCACTTTCTGTTTGACCTTCAAGTAAAGTGGTTTGAATAGTTTGGATAAACCGTTGCCTTCTTTCCAACCTATCTGACACATCATGTTTTATGTGACATCAGACTCTTTTCAGTTATGCCACGATTTTCCCATATCTCAAACTTAGTGAGTACAAGGCTGTGATTACTGATTTCTAAAAAAAAAAAAATGAAAATAAGAGCAGGTAACTAACTGGAATTATCTTTAGAAGGAACTTCTACAGTAGCGGCAGAACTACTGAATTACTAACAGAAGAGGAGTATTGATGGTACTGACCACTGAGGCTTGTGGGAGTGTGTGACCTCAGTGTCCTGGACGGAACAGGAGTGCTCAGCAGTGTCTGTGTGTTTCTCACTGAGTGTTTGTTTTGAGTACTATGCATGTGTTTTGCAGTTTCTATATATTTCGAGTTCAGCAGCGACAGTCTATTTTGTGATTTATGTGAGCGTAGTGTTCTGGTTGATACAGACTTCTTCAGGAATATGTGTGTATTTTCTTGTAGGCGTGTGTGCTGTACAGTTTGTGTAATTTTCCCTGTACACATTTTTGATTTTACTTGCATGTTCTGTATTGTGTGAGTACATTTATTTTTTGGTGTGTGCGAGTCCTGAGACAAGTTTGTTTTTTGTCCTTTGTTGTTGTGTTCATGAGGGCGTAGGTGTTTGGACATGTGCATAGTTTGTGCACGGTGTGTGTTTTTTCGTGTGTGTACATTCTGTGGTCTGTGTGTGACTTTTTGTTGTGACGTGTGCACACTCTGTCTTGTCCGTATGTTTTTTTGTGTGTGCGTGTTAGGTAGTGTCTGCGTCTTTTGCAGTAAAAGTGTATTTTTTGACACGCGTTTGTGTGTGTGTGTGCGTGTGCGTGTGTGAATGTGTGAGTGATTGTGTGTGGTGCGGTGTGTGTCTCTGAATTCCCTGAGGGACAGGAAAAGAACTTTCCGGACCAGACGTTCTTCACACCATGGCATCCCATCACTGATGTCCTGCAGAGTCAGACACAAATACCATCAGCTTTGTTCACACTGCCAGCTGCAGATTATTTCTACTCAAACTATATAAATTTCATCAAACATGATCATACTACAGTAAAATGTACAATAAAACTTTTCATGCACAGTACTCTCTCTGTCTATGTCAATGTGCTGTGTGTGTGGGCAGGGGCTGAGCTCCTGGTCAGAGGCAAGCTTGGTTGCAGGCATTTTTTTTTCTTAATGGTAAAATGGTAAATGGACCTGTACTTGTATAGCGCGTTTTCTAGTCTTCCACTCAAAGCGCTTTTACACTACATGCCGCATACACCCTTTCACACACATTGACTCAGCGATGGCAAAGCCCAAAGGGCGAATGTGGCATGTAAGTGATAAAGCGCTTTGAGTGGTCAGAAGACTAGAAAGGCCCTATACAAATCAGACTGACCACTGCAGACTAGGAACATCCCACAAGAGCTGCAGTTTTGGAGATGCTCTGACCCAGTCGTCTAGCCATCACAGTTTGGCCCTCATCAAAGTTGCTCAAATCCTTACACTGCCCATTTTTCCCACCCACTGACAGGTGCCATGATAACCAGATAATCAGTATTATTCATATCATTCATATCATAGTCATTCAAATTTCGAATTAATTTAGATCCATCTGTATAGATTTGCTTTTGCTGTGACATTAATGTTTAACATAAAAGTAGAAAGAAATTTCACTCACATATTTCTTCTTGATGATATTCCGTTTGGGTCTGTCTGTACTCATCTTGCCCAGTAGACACTAAGGGGCACATGAATTATGGAAGCCTCTTTCCTTTGAATTTGGCTGTTTTGCTTTCTTTTCTGAAAGAAAACATTGGCAGTGTTCAAAATAAGATCACAACACAAAATATCAATGTTCTGTCCCATCAGTGTTGTTTTTTTAAAGTGGTAATACTTCCTTCAAATATGCCTTACTGGCTCTGTACAATATATTTGAAATTTCAGATAGACATGGTGGAAAAAAGCATGATGTAAAAACAAAGCAACAGTCCACACAAACTAAGCAGGAAGCCTCAAGAATTGAAAACAGTTTGATAAAAAACTCTTGCATCCTTGTTCACTTACTAGCCAACTAAGTATAATGACCATGGCCATTTCTATGACAACTGAACAGTTGTGAGATACGATTAAAGCTCTGGAAAAGCTAGTAAGTGGACCTTAAATTACATAAGGTTTTTTTTGTCAAAATAAATACATCATCTAGCTATTACCTAGCTGTAGATAATGTAAACTAGCTGCCAGTGAGTTTTGGGATTTAGAGAAGAAGAAATTGCCCTTTAACCAGCCTTGCTCAAGGGCACCAAGATGGAAGCTGGTGATGTGGGATATCAGCAGGATATTTATTGCATCTTAGTTTTCCCATGTCTATAATCATCTATGTTAACATATATATATATATATAAAGAAAAAATCACTGATTCAATTCTGCTGCACATACTGACTGATAATGCAAGCTGTGGAAAAAGTGATTGTGTTAATAACCTTAAGTCATTCAATTAGCACATAACCCTCCAGATCAGGTGTTACATGTAGATTAAACAAAAATGCAGTTAAAGCCTATACACTACTAGCACAACATTTGAATGGATTTACACAATGCCGCGTATTTATTCTCGAATTAGTCCTTATTTGTGCTTAATTAAGCATCAGGAAGAAGCTTCCTCATTCAATTGAATGCGTTACTACCAGCAACCAGCGACGAATTCGCCACCAGTTAAATTAATATAGTCACAGATTGATCTGGAACAACGGCCTCAGACAGAGCCGCTCATCAACCATTGAACAGATATTAGTGAAGGGTGTACCGATAAATGTGGAACGCAGTCTACAATTCGGACTAGTCTGTAACGTTACATGAACACACATGTTGTACACAAACATTACAACGGACATCTCTATTGTAGTCATATTAATCCTTGAACAAAGAAAATATGAAACAATAATCGATCACCCACCTCCAACAGGATTACCACCGGCCTACATCATGAGCACACCAACAACCTGAGGGAATGGCACACGGACTCACACATTTTACCAAACCCTGAAGCAATGAGTCACGTAAAATATCCAACCGGCACCGGAGTGCCGTTATTCACCTTACTGAGCCTTGAGACTCGGTGTGCTGCTTTAAGTCGGCACCTGCACGGGTGTTCAGCGCAGGAAGGCAAGCACCACTGCGGTTCTGTGAGCCGCCGTTTCAGAACCAAGGCCAGCCCAGGTTATATTTCAGTGCGCATGTATTGTTTACTACGGTTGGTTTAGGCAACGATTGATTTGCAGTTGGCTGATTATGCGTCTACCACGTGACAGGGAAATCAGTCATGGTTCATCCTCGGGGTTCGCCATTTGTCCAATACATCGTTTGTCACCCCGTCGGGACTCCGAAACTAGTATGCTCTGCTGAGCCGTAGTTACCAAGAACCGTCCCTGTAGCCGACGTTTAGATCCCAATGCGCTTCTATTCGTGCAATTAAGGTACAGGCTTTGCGCAGGGGTGGATCTAGAGGGGTGGCCTAAAAATGCCTGGCCACCCCATCTGCCATCCCAGTTTGTTGTCAAACTCCCCCAATCAGCCCCCAAGACACGAATGTCCGACATGCACAAAAATTGGCACGCATGTGTAACGTGATCAGACAAGCAAAAATGCCTCTTGGAGCTATAGCCTACCCCAAACCCAACAGGAAGTCGGTCATTTTGGATTTAGCTGTCATTTTTGGCATTGTAGTTTCATAGTGTAGTACGAACTCGTCCTAGGGAAGTTATCGGATCAACTTCAAATTTAATCTAAAGACATTCATGACTAAAAGTTGTGCTATTTACGACATATAGTCAAACGGCGTGCCCGTGGCATCCAATTTTGACGATTTGCCATGAAAAAGGAAGTTGTCTTAACTTCAGTGTACATGATCTAATCTCAATGTAACTTCAAGAGTCCCGCCCTGAACACATCTATGTGATAATATTCAGTAATAGTGGCAAAAGGAAATGTAATTTTTATACTTTTATGTATTTCTCTCAGCAGATTGATCAGATCTAGCTGAAAGTCTGTCAGAAGTCTCTTAAGATGACGATGATGACATCTTATGAATCTTAACAATTTTCACTGAACCATGTTGCCATAGCAACGTGGCGAAAATCAGCTTTTGTGTTAACAATTGAACAATTTTGGCCGAAAGTTCATGAAACTTTGGAAAAAATTCAGTCGTGGCAAAGGCTTATGTATTGCCTTGGTACTGCAGATGGGCATCACAAAATGGCTTAGCCACGCCCCCCAGAATCAGCCCCCAAGACACGTACGACCGAACAGTACGAAAATGGTACCGATGTGTATCAGTGATTGAGACAGAGCAAAAAATGCTCTGTGGACGCAGTAACCCAAACCCAGACAGGAGCCCCTGCCAATTTGTGAATGTCACGCGCGCAGTTAATTTCGGTGGAATTTTTCGCGCCGGTTGTACTTGAA